TATATATATATATATATATATATATATATATATATATATATATATATATATATATATATATATATATATATATATATATATATATATATATATATATATATATACCGTGCGTCCAATATAAAAACTCACTTTTTACAATTGTCAACAAAATATGTCAAATATAAGGAAAAGAAAATATCCTCTTCCCACCCGTAGGAGTGGTTTTCTGAAGATGGGCAATAGCAATAAATTCAGCATTTGGCATACCATATTCTTCGTGGCTGTGGCCCTCCTAATTCTCATTCTGTTGGAAACGCGTGATAGCCTCTCCGTAGGCGATGAGCTTCTGCGCAAACCAACAGTTGAGGTATGTCTGTCTCGTCAAAACTAAAATATCTTGCTATTTTCCATTGATTTTTGCAATTGTTTCGGTGGAAGCACATGGACACTTCGTCGATCCATTACCATAGTCTCGTGCATACACACATGACGTTGCATATCGACGCTGTATCAATATGTCAATTTTGATTCAGCTTTATATGGGCCAACAATATCTGACAAGTTTAAATTATTGGATGTTGGCATGTATATGCACGTACATATTGTATGTGTATCTAGCTGTGTATGCGTTTGTACTTGATTCTATCTGTGCGCGTATATCGCTATATTCGAGTTCATAGTACATAGTGCAGAGGTATGAAATATCGTACAGGTATTAAAGCGGGCGACAACAGATTTTTATACAGAAAGTATGTCCGTAAAAGAGAGAATATACACTATCATAGCTTGAAATTTGATTGGTATGTTGAGATGCACTGTTCCGCTCGGGGTTCTATCGTTTATTGGTACACGCAATTGAAAAGGCTGTTTACAATCACTTCAAAGCAAAACGAGCTGCGCCTTCTCACATTAGAGGCTTACTTGGATTTCTGTATCAAATATGATGGTAACAGAGCCTTTTCTTGTCCACAGGGATTTCTTGTCCGCTTATTCATGTAATATGCATTTCTCATTTACTTGATTTGCGTGCATCCAAATTTTCACAAAACATTCTTAACATCGCATTAGATAGTATGGATTAGAATCATAATTTTGTCTTCTTCCAATGCACAGGAATTTCTGACGGTCGTGCAGGAAGATGTTATCGACTGTGATATAACCCTCGTGATTCCGAGCCTGCTTTTTGACATAGTGCTGTTCGGTGAGGACTTGTTTGAGAGTTTCAAGACTCTCACAGTGGTACCTAGGGAGATAATCTTTGTAATTAGTGACATGGAGAATCAGAAAGTTGATCACAAAAAGTTTCTCAGACTGAAGCGTAAATTTGCGACACTAGAGGGATACGGAATTCAGCCCCGCTTCTTAGAATATCCTGACAAGATGTCGCAATCGATGGCCAAAAATATAGGGGCGGCTTCTGCTAAGGCCTCGGTGATAAGTATTTTCGACTGCGACGATGTACTACACCCGCAGAGGTTCGAAGTTCTGTCTCACATATTCACCACACGGCCGAGTGTTAACGCGGTTCTCACCACGTTTTCTTTCACCAACAGTGAGCAATTAGGCAATCATTATCTCAGCCAGGATATGTACAATATGTCGGTTGTAGATAGCAAAGTGTACGATCCTGACGATCTGAGACAAAAGATTCGAACCCAGATGGACAAGGGACAATACTACTTTCTGGAACCGAATTCCAATACAGTCTACACCTGGTGTTGTGCTTGGTTTTCACCCTCCCTTGTCGCGAATGGGTGGGTTTCTGTGAGGAGGAGTACCTGGTTGCAATATCAGCAGAGAAACGATATGCGTGTGGGAGAGGATATTGAATTTGTCACTAGACTTATAACTGGAAGCGAAAACCTGACGGTGGTGGATCTCGTACTGGGCCACTACAGATGGAAAACAGCGCAGGAAGGTAAAGTGATCATCTGAACATCGTTTAGTAAGTGACAGTCAGAGTATATCTCATTACATACAGAAACCCCTTATTGAGTCACTTATGGAAAATTTAAAATCACGGGACTGCATATTCCGCTAACTGCCTTATGGCGATAAAGATTACATGGTTGTGTATTTGGTAACGGAAGGACTAAGCGTTTTCTAAATGACTCCGAACTTGCAATCAGACTAGTAACAACAGTTTTGAAACTCACAGCTGTCCATTCCGGACTGGATCATGCCGACATACACTGAACTGAAGGCTTACTACATACTAATATAGATAATACACAATCTACTTCTCACAATTGATCCTTAAAAATAGAGTAGACCCGCTCACAACCTCACACGTATAGAACACACATCACTACATCACTGATCAGTGCATTATGCGATGATATTCTGGATTCACCACGAATCCATGTGGCGTATTATATATATTTAGGACCTGGGTGAGTTCCGAGTTCTCACTTCTCAAGTTCTCAGTCTCGGCCGCTCGGGACATGAATGATGGAAGTTGGAACTCTCAACTCAGAACTGGAACTTGGGAATTGGGAGTTGACTCGGATTCCGATGCCTTGTTTTTTTTGATTTTTTTCTTTTACAGTACTCTGTTTTTACTATTTTAGAAGGCTATGCCAGTATGACGTATGTACAGTATTTGTTTTTTTTGGGTTTGTTTTTTTTTCAAATAACCATTTGTTTGTCGTTGTTTTTAAAAAAACATATAGTTATTTAAAATTCATGTCTAATTAGTAATTTAGAAGGCTATGAATTCATCATAAATAGCCTTCTATATTATACATTTAAAGTTTAGAAGGAGGCTAAATATGCCATAGCCTTCTAAATTGTACCAATATGCCTGACAAACAGTATTTTTTTTTGTTTCAAAACTTACATGATTTCTCTATAATAATAAAATTAATAAACACCTTGGTACACTCAGATTGTGTCTTTTCATGTACTTCAGAGTTCTTCCTGTAATATGATATTGACCATCGCGATTTAGTAGAGTACACATGACTATAATACCCTTCTTTATACTGGTGATTGTACAACATCGATACATTATCATCTGAGATGTATCTTGAAAATTGAAGACACCACATAAACACACCTAGCTTGTTATCCGAGATCGTGGCCTATTGTACTAAAGTTCGGTGTGCCACTTATTTGAGACACTACTGTCTGTCTACCGGGATCATTTATAGTGCTTGACCTGTCCATCAGTAATGAAACACAAGTCTCTTCGGAAACTTAATATGGTTTCAAAATCATTAACACATTCAAAAACACAGCCATATATTTAGGGGTACTCTGCAGCTCTATATGGCACATAATGCGACAATGCGTGTATATAAGCTTGTTTGTTTCATACCTTACGCAATCAAGTATCTTCACCCATACATTATAATTCGATGCCCAAGAGAAATACGATTGCATCATTAGGTTCACAATTGTTCTTTTTTTTCCATATCCGACTAAAGATATATAGTATTTCTGTAAAATTAGGTGTTCCTGTGCACTTTACATGTCGAGTGGCCATCTATACTGATCGTGGTTTGTCCTCGGCGGGTAGGTCCGTATAGTGAACACTATAAAGATGTTCTCACGCACAATATCGCTATTTCTTCCTATCGATTACATTACCAGCAATCAACACTGGCAACGAAGTCAAGAGACGTCTATCATCTATGTCAGAACGACCCGACACCAAGCCAATGCCTCTATTCCGCGGAGTTGATAACAATGATGGCCAAAGTAAGGACGAAGAGGAAACCCATTCGCCATTCCACAACAATCTCGCGACACGACATATTGTGTTTTACACCCCCAAATCCCGCTGTCGAGATCTGGTGCTGCTCGTAATGATGCCGTGGGGGATGCCGATGGATAACTTTCGAGCCATACAATTTAATGACGATGCCAATAAAGCCACTATCGAGTATGAGATAAATAGTGAATGGGTCAGTATGAGTAACCACCATCCTGGAAACGATAAGGACGGAGCCTGGCGCGATATATTTCAGGCTCATGTGTACGTGGACAATGAGATGGCTCGGAGCTCTTCGGAAGTAGATGCACCTATATGGTGCTCAATGAGGATTGATCTCCCTTTCGCCGTATACACACGCCCGGAGCACTACAAAACTCATGAGATGAAGAAAGGTGGTGTTGTTTATGCTGTTGCTTGGACTTTGATGGAAGCTGTAGTCATCGTGTCAACCAGCAACCGGGAGGAACGACTCATGCTTTCGGTGACATGAAACATACTCTGCTTCTTCTCTAGCGCTGATGTAAGCGAGTAGGAGTTTGGTATAATAAACCAAGTCGCAACGGGTGTTTGGGTTCTCGCCTTTGCTGATGGATATTCATATACTGAAGATGTATTTTGTTTAGACTCTGCTTTGCTTAGTAGGCGTGACATTTTGATGTACGTGTCGATATAAATACAGTGCTGATTTGTAACCACACAAATGTAGAGGCATCGAGATATCATAAATACATACCTCATTCAAAGGCACTACATATGGCAAACCTTGCCGTGCTAACCGAAGTACTCTGACACAAATTTAGCTCTCCGCGCAACACTGGTATGTTTTTCTATACTTTTATATGAAAACCAAGCGGTGAATGTTATCAAAGTCACAGGAAATCACCCTTTGAACATGCACACTTTCAATTGTTGTCGCGTTTCCTATATAAATATATGCTGGTATATCATAGTGTTTGAGGTTTCAATCTTTGCGGCGAATGAATATGTATACACCTAGACTGGCAGCCATATGTTTGAACGTGCAGTTCGTAGTGCACATATAACTAAGTGTGCATAGTGTGTTGGAGAGCTTATCTAGTATTATGCATACTGAAATCGCATGCACGCTCCATCGGTTATGCATCTCTAGTAGCTGAACCTTGCATATCAATACCTATCACGTATACCAGCTACGAGATGAATAAATATGTCTCTGTGCTCAAGTATTGCCGATGTGTGCCGCTACAGATAGTGAATATTCCAACCAAACATGAAGCAGCGCTGTCATGTACACTATAATGCATCACGTTATGTTTCCAGTTTTGGGCTGGGCTGTGCGCGCGTGACCATGTAGATTTATTACGTGGCATATATCAATCAATTCTGGCATATGGGTGTGACATGTGCCATAATTATACTCAGTGTACACTAGTCGTGCTTCGGTTGTGGCATTCTTGTCCATAAAGCTCCAGTCGTACGTACTTGCGAGACGCGCCAAAACACGCCAAAACGCGTCAAAACGCGCCAAAACGCACCCTGGTAAGGTAATTGTTTCAGTGTTTTATCAGCAAAATATACAATTACACTGTAAACCCCACCGTTTACCCCAACTAGACATCCTACACGACAATACTGTCGGAGGAAAGCGTCGAATTTCCGGTTGGACTTTTTATTAATAAGGTGTATATATGGGCGTGTCACCGTAAAACGGCAATTTTCCGTATTTTTAGTGTCTAATAGATCGCACCTACAGCACCTATATCAACTGGGGCTCAGATAACATCGGTAAATAAACTCTAAAGGATACCCTCACGGTGGGGTTTCGATTCTATTGCTCTCCGCACTCCGCAAAATGACTATATATGTGGCAACTAAAGGCATGTCCAATGAACACCAAACACGTGATGTACGCAATAGTTCAAGAGGTGTGTTTTTGAAAATTTCATATAACTCAGTTGTAGCTCACTATAAAAGTCACAATGATGTGTGCGTGCTTGTATATAGCCCACGTGTATTTTCTGACAGTATTCATTGTAGTTGTCACCACTTTAGATGTTGCTTCCTTGGTCTGACTTAAATACGATCGTTTATGCACGTCTTGTTATTCCCCTCATAACATCAGTGTTGCCGGGTGAAAGTTGATGTAAGCCTGTCGGCCTGGTCGACCTTCTCCACCCACTGCGTCTTCTGTGAATGTGATAACCAGGCCGATTTCCTCTTTCTTTGGGTTCAGAAGTATTTATATGTCCACACATTTTGGTAAAGTAATAACTTTGAATGGTAACTGTACACTCATTGTAGCTCGCACGGACTCGCGCCCCCCCCCCCCAACTTTCCTGTCGTAGTTTTGCATTCACGAGTGTGAGCTGTGCCTTAAAGGTAGCTCTCACCTCTTTTCTTGGTGTATCGTCCTGCGTGACGTAATCGTGCAGCTCTATGAATGCAGCGGGAATCTTGTGGGTGAAGCTAAATGAAGTGGCTCTGCGACTATACTCCAGAGGGCTGAAATCAGCAAGTGTCTGCGTATCCATAAATTGTATGCTCACTGCTACCATTCTATACTTCGTAGTCGAATGTGTGGTTTCCACCAGTCTATAATTTAGAGAAAGTTCTGTATTTTTGAGGGATGTGCGCACAAACTCGCACGCTTTGGCCTCTTGTTTGCCCGATGTAATCTTTGCACCGTTGACACTGGTTGCTGCCATTTTAGTGCGCACTGGTTGTTGTATGTCCTTGAATTGTCGTGTTGTGGCTGGACTTTCTTCTTCCTGAAACGGCGCACCCTCATCGTCGTCAATATCCTCTTCCGAAGGGGCATCACGGTTTTCTGCAATTTTTTCTCGAAGGCCCGTTCTCGAAAAGCAACCTGCCTCTGACCGAGTGTGAGCTGTCGCTTAGAAGACTTCCGTGTCATGGTCCTAAAACTAGTGCAATCAATAATCACAACAACACATCAGTATACGTGTACACACAACCCTTAGTAATCTTTACGGCTGCGTGATCTTACAGCATTATTGCACGTATACGATGGTTGTAGAATTTACAATTAGTACTAACATAACTCGATGAAGGATACACACCCGAATGCTGATGACCAGGGATTGTTTGAGCTGGATACGGATCCAGTAACTTGCGCGAGTGCGTTTGTAAGATGTTGCGTAATATTGTTGAAGGTTATGAAGCTCTGAACGCCCTGTACTTAGGAAAAGTAAAGTGGCCACAAAAATCAATACAATACTGACTTATGATTACTAGGAGATCGAGGCGCGGTAATCTGTACCAATGAAATTTGAGCGAACATCAGTTGTTGCGTGTCATCGGTTTAATTTAAAATTTGTATCAATGGAATTTGAGATATTTAACATCAGTTGCGTGTCATCAGTTTGATTCAAATCCTCAGACCAGACCTCTCTTCATAAATTCCCCAAGACCTGCGTACCCCTAAACTATAAATACTACAAATTCAGACAGTTTTGTACGCGCTGCAACTGTAAACTCCGATGGAAATTACTAGGTTTCAAACTATATTAAATTAAAATACAATTTAGTCAGTTAGGATTTAGCAG